CAAGAGTCCAGTTCCGTGGGAAACAAGCCATTACAGCTCCATTAAGGTTTGAACTAAAGTGAGATCATATATGTGACATTCATGGGTAGCAGTGTGCTGCAACCCTATTCTAGATAATAGCTACACAGTGGGAACAAAAGCTAGTCAATGTTTTCTCGTCATATTCCATCACCTAAGATATGTATGTGTATATATGTATGTGTGTACACTCATATGTATGTATATGTGTATGTATATATATATGGCATGTATGTAGGTACATTCGCTCATTTGTGGTTGCGATAAAATCAGGGCCGAATGCAGTCGGAGAGTTCAATGATCCTCCATCCTTTCCTCCATCCTTTTCCCCGAAAGATGAGCGAGGGTTTTAAGGAGGTTCAGCCGGCTATAGCAAGTGGCTTTCAAGGAAGTAATGCGAGGTTTACAGGACACCCAGCGATCAAACAGAATGCCGAAAAATCTGTATCACGTTCAGAGATACAGGAGCCATACAAGTACAATGGGGGATCAGTTAGACCCTCCCAGTGGTCACAGCGAGACCCTGCCCAGAGGAAATGATGAGCACTGAAATCTGATAAAAGGTAGGGAAGAAATCAGAGATGCCACATCCAGAGTAGATAATGGCCAAGGAGAAAGATATAAAGAGCAGACTGTACATCACTTGTCCAAGTAGATGTGGGCTGCAGTGTAATGCAGCGAAGTATGGACAAGGACCTGAGGATGTGGTATGCCGTGGCACACAAGAACTGCACTTTCATTAAAAGTCCCATTGGGAAAAGGATCTGATGAATGAAATAAGATATAGCCCGAGATAGGAAGGAAAACAGCAGAGTGCAATTTTGGTTCTTGTAGACACAAACGGGGGGAAACTGGGAAAGCAATATCTGAAGCTCTCCATGGTTACCCCTGAGGCCTCGAATATTCTACTGTAAGTTATGAACGACTAAGAACGTAATAGTAACGTTTTGCAGGTGTCTACGGACCAGGAAGGCTGGTAAAGTCACTATGCAGAGACAATGGAAAATTAGTATGGAGTGAAGTATTGTGATGAAGAAAGGCGCAGAAGGTGAGAATGTGAATTATCTAGGGGAAAGGGGAGGGGTGGACTGGTGTCCATCACACAAGTCTCCTCGATAAAAGTCGAGATAGCTTCAACAGTCTCAGATGAGAGAGAAGGGAGAGAGCTTAGCAGCAGAGGGAGATGTAGTTTGGGTAAAAAGTGGAGACAACGAAGACACCAAAAAAGGGGTAGAGGTGTCCTGGCAGGCAGAAATTGCAGAAGGGACAGGCGAGGGAGCAACTGTACTTAGGGTTGGATGAACCTCCACAACAGTATCAGATTCATCTCGAGGTAAAGGCCTAGACTTAGAGAAGAAAGTTATGGAATGTCATGCAGCTGAGGGGTTGAAGGAGATTTGGACGTAAACGAAGATGCAGACTTTGGAGGAGGAATATGTGGGGTCTATTTAGATTGGATGCGGCACTGGGATGATAGAACGTGTGATGGGGAAGGTGAAGTAGGACAGTAAGAAATGATGAAGTTGGAAACTCAGAGCCAAGGACTGTAAAAAGGGTTGGACACTATGGAAGCGGACACCACCGAAGTCTGGCACTGTCTAGCGACCCTGGAATAAGAGCAATGGGAGTCTTCCCTGCCTGCCACCACCTGCCTCTCCCCCACAACCCCCTCCTCTCCCTTTATCTCAAGAAAATTGGGCAATGGCAAGAATAAGCTGGGTGTGTGTCTTTGCAATCAAGGCAAGAGGAAGGGTGGCTGCAGGATGGATTGCTATGGTCACCAGCACCACAGACAGCATTCTGCCTCTGACCTGCAATATTTCGCTGGGTGGCCGAAGTGCCAGCATTTTCGACGTTATTGTGGGTAGGGATCACCTCCCACACTTTTAGCCATTGTCCCCCCTATGTAAACAGATGGTGGCAGTTCAATGCCTAAAATTTAGCCTTCCTATATTGCAAAGATAATGCCTCCGCCCATGGGCAGGGACTATGTATGTGTCAACTTTAATGGTCGGGAGATTCTGCAGCTCGAGTTGCTCCAGAATGTCATTACACGATAGAAAGAGTTGTACAATCTTCTGTGTAAGTACACTAGATCCACAGCAAGAATTTAGAGAGATGTGCTTGTGAATCTTTACCATGGCCTGGTGGCAAAAGCTCTCGCTTCACATGGTGAGGGTCCAGGTTCGATTCCCGGTGAAGGAATGGAAACAGACTGTTTCCTTACACCGGTTGTCTATGTTCATCCATCGGTAAAGTGGGTACCTGGTAGTTAGTTGACTGGTGGGTGTCTCATCTTGGGATAAAACCGACCTAATTTGCCCGAAATGATCTGCAAAACAAGTGGTTTTCTATATACTAGCATGTCACTGACGTCAGGTATGTATACCTTGTACACGTACTTGTAGTAAATAAAGATATTATAACATCAATTGAAAGATGGTGTGCCTGCTCTGCATTTTAAACTAACAATGAGAGTGCCACTCTTACGATCACGGAAGAAAATTGTTTTGGCTAGTATTTAAGAAGGAATGCCTTGCTGATGATGCTGTTGGAAAGATAGCAAGACAGTATTGAAAATGGGTTGGGCGAACATTTTTGCTAGGGGGTTTGGGTTTGAGAAAGACCTGCAAAGAATAGTTAAATATAAATAATTTTGTTCAAGACCTGGAAACAGAGTGTAAAGGGAGGAATTGCCTAGTTTAATGCATCTTAGAAGCGCGAAAGGAAACAGAGGAAGGGGTCAGTGACATCAAAGTTATTTGGACGGAAGGTTAGATGTGGGCTGTCCAGATTAATATAATCAAAAAGAAGAGCTAAGCCACAAGGGCTATACAGCGCTGCTGGGCTGTCCAGAGTTGCGTGTACTATCCGAAAAATCTATGCACCACGTGGAGAAGCTGGTATCACGGTCAAAGCCGTGCAGAGGTCAGAAGTGTAACGGATCTGTCGAACCAAGTACCATAGGGTAATCGAGTTGGAAGAGGGCAGGAGAATGGTACGGAGTGCCAAGGTCTACAGGGAGGTGCTGTGGGAAAGTGCCCAGGAGGAGGAGGCAAGTCATTGTTATGGGTCTCCATGATACGTTTGTTTATAGAGGGGAGGAGAAAAAAAAAGTGGGGGAATGCAGAGAGATAGCTCCCAGGAGGAATGAAAGGTATTGTATATTGCCCTTAGCACCCAAAAGGGCACTTTCTCCCTCAGTGTAGCCAGCAGTGCAGATGCTACGTGGAACCCATGCCATACCCTACCCTTTCATGCCAGTAAGCCAGCAATCTAGGACAGCAACCCCACATCCGCTGAGCCACCTTGGCGGACAAAAAGAGGGCGGCCGGAAATCTGCCATGATGCATACCTCCACCAGTCACTGCCTCCCGTAACAGACAGGCAGCCTCCAGAGATACACTCGTCATCTGAAGGACACCCTGAGCCACCCCCCGGAACTCTGGAAGGGAAGGGAAGGGAAGGGAAGGGGGGGGGGAAACGGGACATTCCCAAATAATCCAGATTCCACGGCAAACACCAAGGACCTCAACGAAGTGGGAAAGATATAGACACCCTTTCCCCAACCTAGGAGCTAGAATTTCAGAGGGGGAAGACCTCAAATGCCAAAAGCAGGAAAGGACAGAGAAGGGAAAGAAAGGATGGGGTAGGGGGAGGGGTAATTAGGTTCGGTCGGAGAAAGACGGAAAAAACCCCTTCACTGCAAAGGAGTCTCCCTTGAAGAAAAAAGTACCCCAGAGCAACTTTAATGGTGACCATACTATTGAGGCAACAGGTATTTACCTGGAGTTCCGGGGGTCAACGCCCCCGCGGCCCGGTCTGTGACCAGGCCTCCTGGTGGATCAGAGCCTGATCAACCAGGCTGTTGCTGCTGGCTGCACGCAAACCAACGTACGAGCCACAGCCCGGCTGGTCAGGAACCGATTTTAGGTGCTTGTCCAGTGCCAGCTTGAAGACTGCCAGGGGTCTGTTGGTAATCCCCCTTATGTATGCTGGGAGGCAGTTGAACAGTCTCGGGCCCCTGACACTTATTGTATGGTCTCTTAACGTGCTAGTGCCACCCCTGCTTTTCACTGGGGGGGATGTTGCATCGTCTGCCAAGTCTTTTGCTTTCGTAGTGAGAGATTTTCGTGTGCAAGTTTGGTACTAGTCCCTCTAGGATTTTCCAGGTGTATATAATCATGTATCTCTCCCGCCTGCATTCTAGGAGACATGCATACAGTGTCTGGGGGAACGGAAGGCATTCAGTTTTGACTCGGGGAATTTGAGTGACTAACGTTATGTCCTTTGCTGTTGCAACATCTACTCCGCTACGTCCATCCTAGTTACAATAGCAAAGAAACTGGGTAGGGGAAGTGTTTGGCCTTTGGTTTCCACTCCTATTTCTGGATTATGATCAAGAAGGAAGCGCTAAACCCGTAGGATTATACAGCTCCTGTGAGGGGGGAGGGGAGTATGTGGAACGCATTCGGGCTCAATTCAGGGAACTGGAGCAAATATCCAATTCCCTAGATTAAGAGCCCCTCACCAGCATCAAGGAACCTCCCTCGAGAAGCCTATTTCTGCAGGGTGGAGAATTAAGTTTTACGACTTAGTTTAAGCATGTCAAGCACCACACCTGGCCATACATTTAACAAGGTTAACACGAGTCGCCGCCCGTTTTTAAACGAGAATTATGGTCCTACGCAGAGTTGAGAGATGATTTAGGGACTCAATATTCAATTGATTCTTCATAAGTCCCTTTGCTACAAGATGTAACGAACCGCCTTTCGGGAAGTTTCTATAACATTTTCTTTGGCAAAAATCACAGTTTATTTATAATGGATGTCACATCTATTTTGTAAAATCTTCGTGTACATTATTATAATCAAGGGGAAGCGCTAAACCCGGAGGATTATACATCTCTTCGTGTACAACAAACCTACCTAGAAACAGTATAAAACAAAAAAGGCAGTTCTGAGGTTGAAGGCAATAGTCAATTCTTTGAAAGGTTTTCTGTAGAAAGTATTATACACAAAAATAAAGCATGCCTAGTATAAAATTTAGTATTACTCAAAATATGGCAACAAGCATACGAATATGTATTTGTCAACGAAGAAACTGTTTAGCTGAAGAAATAAATGGCTATAACTAGTTCCACTTGTTACTAAATATTAAATATATTTAGTGACAATTTCATTCACTTGCAAAAACACAGTTGTGAAGGACGTGATCGTCTCTGAGCAAGACTGCGGGAGAAGTTTAATTCACAAAAGATAAATTTTTTGCATGGTCCATCAAAAGCTGAACTAAAAAGCACAAGTTTAAAGAAAAACAATCTTAAACACTGCTCCTTAAACGCTTGAACACAACCGTAGTCCAGAAGTCTTCACGAGTCTACTACCTCCTTACAGAATGGAATGAAAGTGCGTAGGACCCGTCTTATGAATTCCATCCAGCCATTATGACCATTCTTTTGGCTCGAAGTCTCTCCTACCGAGGGGGTACTGTCATGAGGAATGGTGCCGTCTTGGGAAGGCTCCTTGGACTCACTAGTGCTGGCCCTGGTACACCTGGAGGGGGCCAAACGCTGTTCCAGGCCAGGACTTGGCAAGCTGTCAACGTTAAAGACAAGTTATTCGAAATAGTACATCCTATGTGAAAATATGTAACCATGTAAATTAAAAATTTCCAGCCTCTAAGCAAGCGGCAAGTATTAAGAGGTTTCCAATAAGCTGCATATACTGTGGTTATAACTAGTTATCTCACCTCTGCGGGAAGAGGGCATCGTGCAAAGTGGGAGATATTTTATAGCAGCACTCCACTGGCTGTTGTTGCCTCTGTTGGAGTCGCGCCAGCCTGGCTTCATCCGCTTCTACAGGGTAGAAAACTATCAGTGATTACACTTCAGAAGGGAGGGGAGGCACTCTTACATTCAGTAACCAAGGTTTGACTACATATTGGCCGATATATCCAAAAGAAATTTAAATTTTAAATAGTGGAAACTTTTAGCAGAATTACACTAAGCATCTAAACATGTACACTAAAATATAAATTAAGAAAATGACAGTACTACACAACAGTACCATCTATTGCTGCAAAGACAGTACCGTCCACCGTTACAAAGACAGGAGTATTATGCTTACCCTGCACAGCAGCAGCAAGCACTGGGTTGTCTCTAACGTGCTTCTTGAAGTGCACCTTAACTACGACAGGTGGAGGGCAGGTGTAACTCATTGGAGTAGTGTGCACAGGCGAACAAGTGTAACTAGTTGTAGGCAGTCTACAGTCTTTCACTGGGTGAGAGGAACCCGAAGCCAACATATGACGACTTTGTACCCTCATAAAAGGAATTAGCCTAATGTATTTCAAGACCAAATTACTGTAAAACACTGAACACGCCAAAATCATGTAACGCTTAAGTCAAACGGAAATTCGTAGTAAACGCTTCGATATTATTACGAGCCTCAAGTACACAAGTGTCGTGTCAGTCGATATGGAGGAATCCTGTACGAAGAAACTTAATCCTGGCAAGAAAGGAAAAGTTATCCTGTGCAGTGGAGAAAAATCCTGGTCGAATGAAGGAGCCTGGACTACTTGTCTTAGTCAAGAGGTCATTCAAACAAACGAAAGGCTGACGCACAAGTACCACCATCACCACATTAATCAACAATGACAGCTCCAAGACGAGCAGTAACCTCAACACTGTCTTCACCCCCCCCGCCCCCTCACACACTCTCCCCTACCCTTGCTCATCCCTAAATTAATGTTGTTAACCATGACTTGTCAACGACGCTTCGCCAATCACCCAAGAACTGCCAATTTACCCATTATAATCACATGGAAAAATATTATCTTTGCAATGAGTAAATAAAAGCGTATTTTTTTATTATATTTTATTTAAAACCAATACAGTTTAACATAAAAATAAAGAAACAGTATGGATCTCAATCATATTAACTGACAAACGGATTGCACCTATATTCTCGCAAGATATTGCTGCCAAACATACAATAAGAACTTACGGCAAGAACATAGCTAAAAAAAATAGTCATAGGGTCGTGAATTGACATATTACCTGGAGTTTACCTGGAGAGAGTTCCGGGGGTCAACACCCCCGCGGCCCGGTCTGTGACCAGCATCCTGGTGGATCAGAGCCTGATCAACCAGGCTGTTACTGCTGGCTGCACGCAAACCAACGTACGAGCCACAGCCCGGCTGGTCAGGAACCGACTTTAGGTGCTTGTCCAGTTCCAGCTTGAAGACTGCCAGGGGTCTGTTGGTAATCCCCCTTATGTATGCTGGGAGGCAGTTGAACAGTCTCGGGCCCCTGACACTTATTGTATGGTCTCTTAACGTGCTAGTGACACCCCTGCTTTTCATTGGGGGGATGTTGCATCGTCTGCCAAGTCTTCTGCTTTCGTAGTGAGTGATTTTCGTGTGCAAGTTCGGTACTAGTCCCTCTAGGATTTTCCAGGTGTATATAATCATGTATCTCTCCCGCCTGCATTCCAGGGAATACAGGTTTAGGAACCTCAAGAGCTCCCAGTAATTGAGGTGTTTTATCTCCGTTATGCGCGCCGTGAAGGTTCTCTGTACATTTTCTAGGTCAGCAATTTCACCTGCCTTGAAAGGTGCTGTTAGTGTGCAGCAATATTCCAGCCTAGATAGAACAGGTGACCTGAAGAGTGTCATCATGGGCTTGGCCTCCCTAGTTTTGAAGGTTCTCATTATCCATCCTGTCATTTTTCTAGCAGATGCGATTGATACAATGTTATGGTCCTTGAAGGTGAGATCCTCCGTCATGATCACTCCCAGGTCTTTGACGTTGGTGTTTCGCTCTATTTTGTGGCCAGAATTTGTTTTGTACTCTGATGAAGATTTAATTTCCTCGTGTTTACCATATCTGAGTAATTGAAATTTCTCATCGTTGAACTTCATATTGTTTTCTGCAGCCCACTGAAAGATTTGGTTGATGTCCGCCTGGAGCCTTGCAGTGTCTGCAATGGAAGACACTGTCATGCAGATTCGGGTGTCATCTGCAAAGGAAGACACGGTGCTGTGGCTGACATCCTTGTCTATGTCGGATATGAGGATGAGGAACAAGATGGGAGCGAGTACTGTGCCTTGTGGAACAGAGCTTTTCACCATAGCTGCCTCGGACTTTACTCTGTTGACTACTACTCTCTGTGTTCTGTTAGTGAGGAAATTATAGATCCATCGACCGACTTTTCCTGTTATTCCTTTAGCACGCATTTTGTGTGCTATTACGCCATGGTCACACTTGTCGAAGGCTTTTGCAAAGTCTGTATATATTACATCTGTATTCTTTTTGTCTTCTAGTGCATCTAGGACCTTGTCGTAGTGATCCAATAGTTGAGACAGACAGGAGCGACCTGTTCTAAACCCATGTTGCCCTGGGTTGTGTAACTGATGGGTTTCTAGATGGGTGGTGATCTTGCTTCTTAGGACCCTTTCAAAGATTTTTATGATATGGGATGTTAGTGCTATCGGTCTGTAGTTCTTTGCTGTTGTTTTACTCCCCCCTTTGTGGAGTGGGGCTATGTCTGTTGTTTTTAGTAACTGTGGGACGACCCCCGTGTCCATGCTCCCTCTCCATAGGATGGAAAAGGCTCGTGATAGGGGCTTCTTGCAGTTCTTGATGAACACGGAGTTCCATGAGTCTGGCCCTGGGGCAGAGTGCATGGGCATGTCATTTATCGGTTGTTCGAAGTCATTTGGCATCAGAAATGATAAGAAATGTCACCATATCAAAAACAATATACTCAGATCACAACATAATTGAGGTTCAGACATGTATGCGGGGAGCCCCAGACCGACATAATGAGATTAGTCACGAGGGAGCATTCACCAAATTCAACTTCAATAACAAAAACATAAAGTGGGACCAAGTAAACCAAGTCCTAACCGATGTAAGCTGGGAAGATATACTAAGCAACACAGACCCCAACTTATGCCTAGAACAGATTAACTTAGTGGCACTCGATGTATGCACAAGGCTTATTCCTCTAAGAAAAAGGAGGAGTATATGAAAAATAAAAAGAGACAGGCGCTCCCTTTACAGGCAACGGAAAAGAATAACAGAGCGGCTAAAAGAGGTCAATATATATGAAATGCGTAGGGAGACACTGGTCAGAGAAATAGCAAGCATCGAACTTAAGCTAAAGGAATCTTATAGGAGTCAGGAATCGCAGGAAGAACTAAAAGCCATAAATGAAATCGAAAGAAACCCAAAGTATTTCTTCTCCTATGCCAAATCAAAGTCGAGAACAACGTCCAGTATTGGGCCCCTACTTAAACAAGATGGGTCCTACACAGATGACAGCAAGGAAATGAGTGAGCTACTCAAGTCCCAATATGACTCAGCTTTTAGCAAGCCGCTAACCAGACTGAGAGTCGAAGATCAAAATGAATTTTTTATGGGAGAGCCACAGAATTTGGTTAACACAAGCCTATCCGATGTTATCCTGACGCCAAATGACTTCGAACAGGCGATAAATGACATGCCCATGCACTCTGCCCCAGGGCCAGACTCATGGAACTCCGTGTTCATCAAGAACTGCAAGAAGCCCCTATCACGAGCCTTTACCATCCTATGGAGAGGGAGCATGGACACGGGGGTCGTCCCACTCCACAAAGGGGGCAGTAAAGCAACAGCAAAGAACTACAGACCGATAGCACTAACATCCCATATCATAAAAATCTTTGAAAGGGTCCTAAGAAGCAAGATCACCACCCATCTAGAAACCCATCAGTTACACAACCCAGGGCAACATGGGTTTAGAACAGGTCGCTCCTGTCTGTCTCAACTATTGGATCACTACGACAAGGTCCTAGATGCACTAAAAGACAAAATGAATGCAGATGTAATATATACAGACTTTGCAAAAGCCTTCGACAAGTGTGACCATGGCGTAATAGCACACAAAATGCGTGCTAAAGCAATAACAGGAAAAGTCGGTCGATGGATCTATAATTTCCTCACTAACAGAACACAGAGAGTAGTAGTCAACAAAGTAAAGTCCGTGGCAGCTATGGTGAAAAGCTCTGTTCCACAAGGCACAGTACTCACTCCCATCTTGTTCCTCATCCTCATATCCGACATAGACAAGGATGTCAGCCACAGCGCCGTGTCTTCCTTTGCAGATGACACCCGAATCTGCATGACAGTGTCTTCCATTGCAGACACTGCAAGGCTCCAGGCGGACATCAACCAAATCTTTCAGTGGGCTGCAGAAAACTATATGAAGTTCAACGATGAGAAATTTCAATTACTCAGATATGGTAAACACGAGGAAATTAAATCTTCATCAGAGTACAAAACAAATTCTGGCCACAAAATAGAGCGAAACACCAACGTCAAAGACCTGGGAGTGATCATGTCGGAGGATCTCACCTTCAAGGACCATAACATTGTATCAATCGCATCTGCTAGAAAAATGACAGGATGGATAATGAGAACCTTCAAAACTAGGGAGGCCAAGCCCATGATGACACTCTTCAGGTCACTTGTACTATCTAGGCTGGAATATTGCTGCACACTAACAGCACCTTTCAAGGCAGGTGAAATTGCTGACTTAGAAAATGTACAGAGAACCTTCACGGCGCACAAAACTGAGATAAAACACCTCAATTACTGGGAGTGCTTGAGGTTCCTAAACCTGTATTCCCTGGAACGCAGGCAGGAGAGACACATGATTAGATACACCTGGAAAATCCTAGAGGGACTAGTACCGAACTTGCACACGAAAATCACTCACTAAGAAAGCAAAAGACTTGGCAGACGATGCAACATCCCCCCAGTGAAAAGCAGGGGTGTCACTAGCACGTTAAGAGACCATACAATAAGTGTCAGGGGCCCGAGACTGTTCAACTGCCTCCCAGCATACATAAGGGGGATTATCAACAGACCCCTGGCAGTCTTCAAGCTGGCACTGGACAAGCACCTAAAGTCGGTTCCTGACCAGCCGGGCTGTGGCTCGTACGTTGGTTTGCGTGGAGCCAACAGTAACAGCCTGGTTGATCAGGCTCTGATCCACCAGGAGGCCTGGTCACAGACCGGGCCGCGGGGGCGTTAACCCCCGGAACTCTCTCCAGGTAAACTCCAGGCCACCTTTGAAGCAGGGGCTGCGACGTCCACCACAGGTCCAGGCACACGTCTTCGCTTGTCACAGGTCGCCGCTATGTGATCATACTCACCACATAGGCGGCACGTACGTCGTTGTCCTGGGTACATTACCATTACCTGCGTCCTGAAATTTTGTAGATACACATAGGACGGTATTGGGTGCCTCAAAGTCATTTTGAGGTTTTAAGAACTCTCTGGAAAACCTGCATAGGCTCCTGCCACCCACGTACCATGTTGAGCATAATGCACCGTCCCATACGTCTCAAAAACTTTCCTTATATCCGCCTCGTCCGCCTCAAAGGGAACGTTGCGTAACTTGATCCACGTATAATGCCGTGAAACATCTATCATTCTTACACTGACAGCTGGTGTGACGCTAAGACTTACGTTCTGAAACCTGGTGACTAACGATTCATAAACCGTAGCTGATAGCAGTTTGACGAAAATTCTTTGGCCTCCATTTAATGCTACACCATGCAAGTCACTATCTTGTATGCCATATGTCTGCCGGATGATCTTTGGCAATAAGACTTGCGCAGAACTAG